TTGCTGGACTCGGCTTCAGCTGCATCCTTCTTCGATGCATCCACCCCAAGCAGCACAAGCGCCACTACCGGCTCCTCCTCCTCCAACGCCTCGTCCTCAGCAGCCGCCAGGATCTCTTGATTATATCTATCAGAACACTGGCGGTACGTTTTTTCCCATGAGGAAAAGTCGGCATTGGGGAAGAGGCGGCCCCAGGTCAGGCGCTGGATCTGAGCAGAGTCTTCCATCATCTCTCGGACCAGCTCCTTCTTTTCTTGCTCGGCCTTTGCCGAGAGCTCCTGAGTAAGACTCTTCTCCTGGGTCACCAGGCGTTCCTTAACGTGTGCCAAGGATTTCTCCAAGGTGTCGTATGAGGATATTTTTTAGCGAAGAGGTCTCAGCTCGGCCTTGAGATTGTTGATGGTCGCCTCCAGCTCATTATTTTTCTTCTGGGCCGCCTCTAACTGAGGCCGGATAGCAGAAGTAGCGTGCGCCTGATAATAAAGAATATCAATTGTCAAAATCTAATTTTGGGCAATTTAAAACATTGCCTTATCACAGTCAGAGGCGGTCATAGCTTTTGCAGCCTTTACCTCTTTGTTCTTCCTGTCAAGCGGCTTGCGAAGGCCGTTCACTCGGAGCAGGGCCTAAGTAAAAGGGAACAGGCGTCAGTTTTCAAACAAAAAACAGGCGTCCTGGAAGTTAAATAACCAAAAATATGCTAAGTATACCTCAGCAAGGACCCCTGCAATCCCGTCTAGGTCAAGGGTGCCGACACCCCTGACCGCCTCCCTCTCAGCCGGAGGGACGGCTTTGATCATAGACTTGGCCACCTCGACCAAGTCTGGCTCCTGAGGGCCGGCTGCATCAAGCATGAACAAACGGGTTAGACCTAGTAAAGAAGGGAGCAAGTCTAAATTCACAAGGACAGCTTCATACTTCTAGGCGGCCCGATTGGAGTTTTAGAAGGAGTGGACGGCTGTTTCTCAGCCGCCGCATGTTTCCTGGCAGTACCAGGAGAGCTCGCAACAGTCGTCCTCCGGGTCTTGGAGTCCGGCTGTTGGGAAGAAGAGGCTCTTGGAGTGCCCGCCTGAAAAAAAAAAAAAAAAAAAAAAAAAAAAAAAAAAAAAAAAAAAGAAGCACTCGGTCAGTATATGCATAAACCCAACTCCAAAAAGAGAGTGAAAGGTTCGGAGCTCACCAAGGGCGCCCCCTTGTTGGGGGAGTCGGTTGAGGATTGTTGCATAATAGAGGCTCGCAACATGGCCGCCGCAGTCTTGGAAGCGGTGATCTTGCTCATGGCGTCCGCTACAAAGACAAGATACCAAGTTAATAAAAAAATAAATAGTAACTCATGGCAAAAAAGAGCATTCGACAGGCCGGCTACCTCTTGAACACCGACTGCTAAGGCCACAGGCGGCCAGAAAGTACTCGTCATAGAGCCATTTGAAGCTCGGGACGCAGTGCAGGGGTACTTGCTCTCGTACCCCTGTAGTAGAGTCGACCCTCGACTCTAGTTTAAAGAGTCCTTTATCAAGGATCTCTTTCTTGGCTTTGGGGGGAACAGGCGGCATGCTGCGGCCGCCTGCAAGAAGAGGCGGATTCCTGTTCCACTTGTTGAAGCGCTTGTTCAGCTCTGTGTCTGAACTTTCAATGATAAGGAAGGTGTTTCGCCAATCCTTCCACTTGTTTGCTTTACCTCTTGTCATGAGGTAGCCTTTGTGACTCGTCAATTGATACCAGTCGGTATCGCCTGCCTTAGGGGTCCGGCTGAGGTAGTTCATGTGGGCGAAAGCCTTGAAGTTTGGCTCCACCCCGTGCAGTTCGCACCCGGCCACATAGCCGAGTACGTTGACCCAGGAGTTTGGGGCTAACTGCCATAACCCCAACTCATACCCATCCAAGATCCGCTGAACAGCCGGATGTAGTGGGAAGCGCAGCCCAGCCCTGATGGCCGCCTCGTAGCAGCCAAACAGGCGCTATCATAACTAGTACCAGCCGGCCAGACGACTGTGTCTTCTCAATCCGGCACGAAAACTAAAAAGTCGGGGCCCATTGTGTGGTTCGCAATAAAGCTCCCCACTCTCTCTTGCATGGCCGTGATCCGGCCCCGTGGGACAGTACAGTAGTAAGGGGTATTTTGCTCTCGGTAAGAGGCGGATGGCTCCGCCCAATTGTCCCCCTTCTCAACTGCGTGAGAAAGCCTCGCCTCTTGTAGGCGGCTGTTTTTCTCTTCCGTGTCCAAAGAGGCATGACCAGAAGAACTAGACTCGGATTCGTCCTCTGACGAGTCCGAAGAGGACGACTCCTCCCCTCTCCCAGAGGGGCCCGCCTTCTCTCCTTCAAAAGGAGCAGGAGAAAATGTAGGCTTGTCAACTGTAAATGGGAAGGGGTCACCTTGACCCCTCCCTCAAAACTGTCGGATGTCAAGCCGCCTTGGTTCACTTCCACATCTGGCGCCTGGTCAGATGTTTCACTAATCGGCACCCTGTGGGAGGAGCCGTCTGAGTTCGAGATCCTAGCAGTTCTTTTTGTTCTGGCCATCATGTTCTGCATAGACACAGAGACAGTCGGACTTTGTATAAAGGGAAAAGATGGGTCCGGAAAAGGGCAGGCGGCACTCCTAGTCCTAGATTCAGCCGTCCCCGGTGACCGGCTGATCACTAACCTAGGTCGTGTCGTGTGCTTTCGTGGTGCCATTCCAAAAAAGAATAAAATAAACAGAAAATTAAGAGTAAGAGAACCGACGGTTACCTGAACGAGTGAAGTTGACGGAGTTCTGAAAATCCAGTGTAGTCGGCTTGTCAGAGCAGGCGGTAGGCAGAAAGAGTCTGAAATGTCAGAGCAAGTTCAGGGGTCCGAATGTTCTCTCTAAAAAGTTCTCAAGTGTGAAAATGACTGAAGTCAACACACCCTTATATAGGCAAAGTGAGAAGGCGAAGGGTCACTTCCAAAATTCAAAATTTGGGCGGGAGAATCTCTCGGCCTTTCGCCGAGTGACACCTGTAGCAGGCCGTCGCCTGTCACGGTGCGACACCTGTCACAGGTAACACGTGACCAGTCACGTGCCACCTGTGAGGGGAAAATGATTAGGGGATTTTTATCCACCAATCAGCATCCGACACGTGGGCCAGCCAGGTTTTGCCACGTGTCCTTCATGTAGGCCAATAGGAGTCTGCCACGTGTCATCAAGAGATTCGTCCTCCTTGGACCAATTGCAATGTGACACGTGTCCACCCATGCCAAATGGGAAAACCGGCCAACAAGGCCCAATCATTGTGGGAGGCCAGTCAGCCTTAGGTTTAACCTAAACCTAGTACTGGCACGCATCCCAAGGCATATAAATATGCCCATTAATCCTCGTTAAGGGGGATTACGCACATTTAACACTCTCACCTAGAGAGACCCAATTACTTTTATTTCCGCATTAATTACTCCTTAATCAAGTACTAACTTGACCGTCGGAGGCGGATCTCCAATCGTTCGGAGCATCCGTTTGTTTTGCAGGTACAGGCGTCCGGTTCCAGTCTCCGAATTGTAACTCTCCCGCAGGACATCAGAAAACCCCGAAACAATGATGATGATGAATTTGTTGTTTAGCTTAGTTTCGATGTTGATTTACATGGATTGTGAGTAGTTTTTTTGCTAGGGGAATGGTGAAGCATATGAGTAATGGATTGATGCTAATTGGGGGAAATTGATGGAGTTGATGTAGTGATTAAATTGGTTGATTAATTATGTGCATGTGTGTGATTGATTGAAGAATAGCTAACTTTGCACTAGATTGCATTTTAAGTTCACATTGATACGAACAATTGATTTGTGGCTTGCATTTGCCGATTGAGTTGGTTTGTGAAGTTCCTAGCTGGAGTCTCTTGTAGTTGGCTCTAGTTTGACCTTTAGGAGATTAGCCTATCATACTCTCTTGATTGCTTAATTTATTTTCCCTCGCAACACTCGACTTTGTCAATTCCAATCCCGATTAGTTGTATCCATTGCATGTATATGTGGATCCTAAACCCTAGTGTTTGATATATTTGGTTTTAATCTCGTTTTCTTAGTTGTTTTAGAGTACACACAACTTACTTCACTTCTTCGAAATAGCTTAGCTCTAGAAATTAGCTTTCACCTCCCATTCCTAGTGGTTCGACCCTCGACTTACTCCTATGCTAGTTATAAGGGTGTGTTGAGTGATTACAAATTTTGTTTGGCCTAGGGAAGATTAGTCTAACGACCTAGTCTCCTCCTTAGTCAAAATGGCGCCGTTGCCAGGGAATGGCGTAGTTGTTTGCTATTGTTGTTGAGTCTATTTCACTTAATTTCAAAAATACAAAAAGATTTTTCTCTAATAGACTACATTTGTAGCCGTGCTACTAATCAATTCTTTTGAGTTTATGTGTGCAAGTTAACATAAGAGAAGTCCCAAGGGTTACTTTGAAGGAGTTGGGCACTCCGGTTGTATACAGGTATGAGAGCGAGATTGCTCCATTATTCAAAGAGAGTGTCCTCAACATGGAATTCCGACTTACCAAATCATTCAAATTTTTTATGGTGGTTTGGGTCCTTAAGGGAGGTCAAGTCTTGATGCCGGAGCCGGAGGCTCAATCATAACAATATGCACAAGTGGAAAAAACGATATTAGCAACTGACAAAAAGTGACTTTTGGCAACTGGCACATGGGGCTACTATTGCGGGGGCTACTAATAAGAATATTATTAGCAACTGGCACTTGCCAGCTGCTAATAGTCATTATTTGCAACTGGCGTATTTATTGGCCAGTTGCAAATAGTCTATATTTGCAGCTAGCATATAGTTTGGCCCGCTGCTAATAGTACTCAATCGCAACTGGCATATAGTTAGGCCAGTTGCAAATAGTATTTTTTTTAAACTTTAAAAGGTGTTATTCGCAACTGGCCGAGTACTAGGCCAGCTGCTAATAGCACGTATTTGCAGCTGGCATATAATTCAGCCAGTTGCGAACAGTCAATTTTTAAAATTAAAAAAAATGCAAATTGTTTTAGCCAAATTGACGGATGAAATAGATCATAGAAGGTACTACTGTAACAAATTTTTTGTTAATTTTTGCATTATACATTAATTACAAACTTTTTAAAAAAATTACAAGGCTAGCACTCTAGCAGTCTATGCTACAAAAACACATAACTACTTCTGGGAATGACAGTATTGGATCAATATTGTTTTTATTCGTGCTAGAGGTTCTTTCTCCCTTTGCTGAATTGGCAGATTGTGGTTTATCTTCAACCAAAGATCCTGAAATTAGCTGGTTGCTGCAATTTTGAAAATAAATTAATAAGCTTCAATAAAAAATAAAATAAAATATAAAAAAAAAATAATAAAAAAAATAAAAAAACTACATAAGACATCACTAGAAAAACAAAAAGGGAGGAAGGGAGGTTTACAGTAACCCTTTAAGGAAGCAATAACACATTAATAATAGGGTTAATATCCACAACAAATATTAGCCAGCCCCAGCCAACCAGCCACCACTTGCCAGGAAGCAGCAGCCAGCTAACAGGACACAGTTGCCTAGCAGTAGCAGCTGCTAGCTAGACAGCAGCATTGAGCCAGCTAGCACCGCAACACCCAGCCAACAGCAGCCAGCCAGCAAGCTTACAGCTACCAGCAGCAGAAGACAACAGCAGCAAACAACCACACAAGAGCAGCAGCACACACATGTAAGCTACAGCAAGCAGCAACTACATAGCATAGTCCTTTTATATTTTATATTCAAAACAGCAATCAATCGTTAAAAAAAATAATAATAAAAAATAAAAATAAAAAATAAATAACCATAAGAAAAATTTAGTTGTTTTGTTAAATTTACTTAACAATATTGTTTTATACAGAGCTATGATGCTATGGTTACATGTATTCCAGTACAGATTTCAATTTGTATTAGAATTCAATGTAATAATTCAAGATCATCATGCTTACAAATCTTTCAAGTTTGTGCAAAGATTTACGTTCAAAGTATAGTTTGACTTACCTCGTTAATCCTTCTTCCCCCACCCCCCTCTCGCCCGATAGTTGTACTCCTCCTTAAAGTTCCCCCAAGATATCTCCTTGTTGACTGCTTTTGACCATGGTCACTATTACCACCTATGTTAGTTTAAAGGTCAAACATGATTAATGGGTCCTGCATTTGATGATTATCAGTGTTAGACAAGTGTGACATAGTTTAGCACAACAGTTTTAACACTAAAAATAGATGCTCAAAAATTTTAATGGCTCATCCCTTAAATAACATATATAGATCATAAAGTATGTGTACAGAAAACTAGGAGGGAGGAACCTACTCTTCCAGAAGAGGTAAGTCAAATTATACTTGGTTAGCATCAAGAATTGGTCACAACAAATTATAAGGATATAAATTTTTTATATTTTCATGCTTGAAATATTAAGACCTTGAAATAAATAGCAGCAACTATCTACTATCCTCATTTTAAGTAGTAAAGTAGCAACAACATCCCCAAACTAAAAACATTAGTAGCTACAAGATACAATTCCTTCATTTACATGATTTTATCTAGTACAAATTTAATTCCAAAAAACCTGCAAGAAAATATTTTGGAGAGAAGAGCTATTAGTTATCTTCATTTAGCTTGTGGCCAATCCAAAAGTGTCTTGCTTAGAATTATGACATGCAAATCAAGTTATTTTCATTTAATCAAATAGTAACTATTGGTTATGTTCCAAGATCAATAGTAGCTCTTTTGTGGAACTGCACTCACAAGAGAAGAGATTCATCCACTATATACTTCAAATACAGAAAATTAAACCTCAAGTTTGTTGTTCTTTCTAGTATTCGATATTTATTACGAGTCTACAAGTCAAGTGTCCTGTACATACGAAGCTGTATATAGGGAGTGTGTTTGATAAAAATTCTGAAGAACATATGATATAAGTTCTATAGACTAATACAGAACAAATACTTGTCTAAACACATCCCTATATTATCATCGAAATCTAAATATTATCATAAAAAATAATAACCAAAGCCCTTAGAAATCATACCATCGAAATATGCAGGGAATAATGGAATTACATGCCAATAATTATGTTGGTGATGGTAAATCTCATACCATAGGTAGACCGATAGTTACCAAACCAAGAAAGGATTTCTAGTAGATCATATAAAAGGAAAACTCAATGAATGGATTACCTTATCAGCCGAAAGATGAATAGCTTATATATTCATATTAGCTTCTTTCTGAAAGCTACTGTCAAAACCTGCAGTTAAAGGGAAGGTAAAAAGGATCAGCTAAAGCAATCTGGACATTTCTAAATGAAGGGGAAGCAATAAAGAGATTTATAATAGAGAGAAGCAAAGTAACAACAAAAAAATCTTCTATTTCAAGAACCTACAACCTTATAATAATCTAAGGTGTTTAGATTTATATACCAACAAATACTAAAAATTATATCATCTCAGCAACCAAAAAAAAACATGTACTTAACTGAAACACAATAATGAGGCCTTAAAACAATTTTAGACAAGAAATGAAAAAAGTTTTTTCATTAAATTGTTGTTATCAACACAAAAACATATCTAGAAGAGTTAAGGAAGAAAGTAATTTACCAATTATGGAGGATGCGGCACTACATAGTATAATGTTCTAAATACATTAAATATTCCTCTTCTCGGTGTGATATCCATAGTGGCATTAAGATTCTCATTAACTAAACAACCGTCCACCACCTTGCAGGCTAGCACCTCATTGAGAATTCTAGTGAAATTAGAATTAAACCATCACACAAATAGCACCTACCCCATCAAAAAAATGAAATATTTTCCCGGTGTGATATCTAGATCGGCATATAACCCTGTGTCGTTTTTATCACTAGTAGCCAAGAGCCCTGCATAGTATCCAATTAAATAAAGCTGATATGTCATTTTTGCATAAAAGCATGGCACTTATCATATAATTTTTTTTATAATAGAGGAATTGCATTTGATAAGTTAACAAGAAGAAGATACAAAAGCTAGTATTTATTAATTTAAATTGTAACTACACATCCCCATTTAGTAGTGCTTTAAACCTATTAGCTTTAAAGCAATAATAATTTAACATACAAACTTAATTCAGATATAATCAAATCTTCTTATACAAAATTAAATCAGACTTAGGGCCTATTCAGATTGACTGAACTCAGCTCTTCAGCTGAACTAAACTTATTAATTAGTGATTTTCAACTACGGATTAGTGATCTTTGATTATTTATTGATTATTTATTACTATACATATGTGTATACACAAATGTACATATTAAAATATTTACGAAAAATATACTATATAATAATAAAATTTATAGAAAATATATTAAAAACTTGAAACCTCTAAACATTTTAAACACATATTGATTATTATTATTATTATTTATTGATTATTATTAGTATTATTATTATTATTATTATTATTATTATTGTTACTATTATTATTATTATTATTTATTGATGATTATTATTATTATTTATTGATTATTATTATTAGTATTATTATTTCAATTATTATTGTTATTGTTATTATTATATTATTATTTATTGATGATTATTATTATTATTTATTACTTATTGATTATTATTATTATTATTATTATTATTATTATTATTATTATTATTATTATTATTATTATTTTATTATTGTTAATATTGTTATTGTTAATATTATTATTATTATTATTGTCGTTGTAATAAGAGCTGAATAAAATTTGGCTTTATATCATTAGCAATATCATTAGACATAAATTAAGAGCTGAACTGAATTGAATTTCAACGGAAGAGAACAGGCCCTTAATTATAAATTTATACTCAAAACCACAACATGTTAACAGTCCATCAGGGCAATGAAAATTAATTAATCAAACCACGGCATGTCAATATAATAAATAAATAAAAAAACACTCCAATATCTAAAAAAACAATACAGTAACCTATGAGTTAAAGTACTGATAAACAAGCATAAATCAAAATCAGAGCAGCAAAAAATCAAAATCAGAGCAAAATTACAAATGTGAAATGCAAAAAATTAATAATTTTAAATATACAACACCAGAATTACATAACAAAAACATTAAAAATAAGAGAAATTAAGAAAAATAATATCGAATACCTTAGGGAGGAGCAACACCTCATCGTATACGATAAAACTTCTTATATCAAACTCCAGGTAAATAATTAAGAACTCCATAGTTTCCATTGTAAGAGCTTCTATTTCGAGGTATGAGAAAGATGATTCTTTGAAGCAACAAAGGATTGTAAAGGGGCATTGTCATTTTTGAGCAGCAACCACCTCGTTTACTCCGCCTTCTCCCTCGCTGAAACCCTAAGTAGCCAAATCAATGGAGAGAAAGTGAATACTACTTTGATGAAGAATTGAGGAGAAAGGGTGACGTTTTGAGGAAAGCTTGATTAATGAGGGTTTGATGAGGAGAGAGAAATAGCTTCATATCCATAGAGGGAGGCGGAGAAAACGAAGGAGGGTTTGAAGTCTGAGAACTACTTTTAACTTTGAATAATAAAAACAATAAAATGAAATAAAAAATAAGGTAGAGAGTAGTTTTTAGCAGCTGGCGTTTTAAGTGAGGAAGCCAGTTAACTCTAGATAAATAAAATTTGTTTATCACATGACATTTTCGTAAATAAATCAACAACTTTTTCCAGTCATCATCACTGTATGACCCACTTTTATGGAAAAAGTTGTTGATTTATTTACAAAATTGTCATGTGATAAACAAATTTTGTGAATCTCAGATATTAACTTGTATTTACCCGTTTTAAGGCTGGCTACAATTATTTTGGTCAATAAAATTTCTACTTTTTACTTGACATTTATTAGCAACGTGCATTTTTGTGTCAGCTGCAAATGCCACGGAATTTGCAACTGGCATTAAATAGGCCAGCTGCTAGTATCAGTTTTAACTTTTACCCACCTATTATTAGCAACGTTCATATTTATGTTAGTTGCTAATGATATTGTATTTGTAACTTACAATATTTTAGCTAGTTGCAATTAGTGTTTTAGTAGCTAGCATATTTAACGACAGTTGCTAATAGGGTGCTGCTAATAGCAATTTTTCCACTAGTGAAGGTGGAAGAGGTTGAGGATATGATAGATGATGTAGTGAGGAACTACATGCATTGGCAAGAAGTTGAGATAGAGTCGACAAGCGAAAATGGATCGATTGATCAACTCAATGCCATCAAAAATTCGTCCACACTACTTTCGGACTTAAGAAAAGAGGTGGTTTCTATCAAGACTAAGCTTGAGAATGCTCCTTCACAAACACAAACTCTTCCCTCCCAATTTTCGGGAAGGGGTACATCTGCTTAGTCTAACCCTCTTTTCGCTTCTTGTTGCATGATTAGAGAATGTTTGGTTTGTGATTTGTGTGGAAAGAATGATCACGATGCTTCTTATTGCCCCAATGTTCCTTGTTATGGATGTGATGAATATGATGGAAATAACAATGAGCATGTGAATTATGTCGATAATAATGATTTTGGACCTAGATTCAATGTTCAAAAGAATGTTGGGAATAGGAATTATCACTACCATGGGAACTATGATAGTTATAATCAAAATAGGGGTTATAGGAACCAAGTAACCCAAGGGTTTCGTGGTAACCATAACAACTATGGTTATAATGATCAATGTCACGACCAAGTATATGGGGTTCATAACCAAGGTTATGGTAACAATAATAAAAATTCCGGCCAAAATCAAGGTATTGGTAATTGGAGTAACCAAAGTAAGGGAAATTATCAAAACAATTAAAGAGGTCCCTCACCCGAATTTACTCCAAAGACCCAAGGGCAGAGTGATAATTCCCATGATCAACTATCTCATTCTATGAGTGGGTTAGAGGATGTCATGGTAGATCAAGCCAAAAAATTGAATGATTACATATCGTCTAGTAACAAAATGTTTCATGACATGTTTACTCATGGAAAGATGCTTGATACCCAAATCATTAAACTAGCCAACACCTCGAAAGAACATGCTACCCTTTCTTCTTTACCTTCTCAAGGAATTAATCCTAAGGCACCGGTTTGTTCTATAACCACTAGAAATGGTAGGGTCCTTGAGAGTGAGGTGTCTAAAAAAAGTGGTACGAAAGAGAGTCCGATTGAGAATGAGGGAGATGAGAGCCCTTTGGTTGAGGAAGTTGCTAAAAAACAAGTTGAGAAGGTGAAAGAGAAAGAAAAAGAAGTCTACAAACCCTAAATTCCTTAGCCTCAAAAGTCCAATAGGCACAAATTGGATAAACAATTTGGGCAATTCATCGAGATGCTTAAGAAAATTCATCTTTCTATTCCTTTCACCGAAGTCTTGGAACAAATGCCAAACTATTCTAAGTTTCTTAAGGAAATTTTGAGCAGCAAGAGAGATTGCAATGTGGTTGAGCCGATGAGTTTGGGGGAGTGTTGTAGTGCCTTTATCCATAATGACTTGACCCTAAAGATGAAAGATCTAGGAAATTTCTCCATCCCTTGCAATATTAATGGGAAATTGTTCCAAAATGCCCTTTGTGATCTTGGTGCTAGTGTTAGCATCATGCCTTATTTCGTCTTCAAGAGACTTAAGAAAGGTGAGCTCCTTCCAACCAAAATGACCCTTCAATTGACCGATCGTTCTATTAAGTTTCCTAAAGGAAGAGTTGAGGATGTCCCCCTCAAGATAGGAGAATTCACTATCCCCGTTGATTTCATTCTGTTAGAGATTGCGGAAGACGACGATATTCCTATCATTTTAGGGAGACCCTTTTTAGCTACTTTGGGAGCTTTGATAGATGTTAAGGGAGGTCAAATTACTTTGAGGATTGGTAACAATGATGAAAGTTTTGAGTTAAAATTGATGCATGAGTCTTTGTCTCTTGTGAAAGGAATCATGTGTGTTAATTCTCCTTGCTCCACTGATAATGTTTGTATGATTAATTCTTCAACTAACGATGTTCATGAGATTTTTGGTGATGTGCTTGTGAGTTTTGATTGCATGAAAGTTAGTGAAGAGTAAAAGGAGTTTTCAAAGGCTATGGACGAAGAGGTAATTGACATTCCGCATTAGTTTGATCTTCGCACTCAAGAGGAGGAGGTTGATTCCAAGGATGTGGATGGTGTGAAACCGTCTATAAAAAGGAACAAGGTAAACAAGAAAGCAAGAGCTTCTAAGAAAAAGAGAATGAGAATTGCTTTAGAAGTCCAATCAAACGAAGTTTTATCAAGCAACAATGAGAAGTTGCTAATTTTTGAAGAGGAATTTGTGCCTTCCACCACTTCAAAGAAGTTGGTGTTCTTTGACCCTCCATGATTTGGAGGAAGGGTCGATCTTAGGACCATAAGCAAGCGCTTCCCGGGAGGCAACCCGGAGATTTCTAACCTTTTCTTTTGATTTCTTTTTCTTAATGTTTTTCTTTTATTTTCCATTCTTTCACTTGTTTTTCTTTTGGATTTATAAGGTGAATTCATGGAGTTGGATTAATTCAAGTGAGCATGAGCAATGGAAAGGTGTTTTGCGGTTTAAGTTGTGATTGTGTTTGATTTTACCGAATTTTGAGGTAAAAGGGTAAGAAATGTTCGTGAGGTAAGATAGGGAAAATTATAACTATAATTGAAGAAAGTTTGAACTTAGTGGGTTCATTGTGGTGTTATCATTATTTTGAGATGTTGAACCCACTGTCAACATGTTTTGAAACTACTTTTTTTTGGTGGGTTTAATAATCTCGGGTGATATCGGTCTATGAACCAACAATAGAACGCACCGAGCAATAATTTTAAGAAGAGAAGGCAAGCCACGCGGGGCTCGAGTGCGCTAGGCACCAGCGTGAGCGCGCCATGGGGCAGCGCGACCGCACACCCCATTTTTCGAGCTTCTTCTTCTTTCTTTCTCTTTTCTTTCCCTCATTCCCTATCACTCTTGCTCTCACCGTCTTTCCTCTTTATCACTCTAAACCTCACGAAACCCTTACTCCTTGCTCATCAAATTCATCACAAATTCATTAAATTTCATCCAAAATCATCAAAATCCTCCTACATTTTTAACAAATATTACATTACTTTCATCCATATCAATCTCCAATCTCTCTCCTTCATTGTTGAAGCAATTTGAGGTTTTTCGTTCTTAAGGGAATTGGTGGCCAAAAATTGCTTAATCTTGCTCCTTGTATGGTATAGTCATCTTCTTTTACTCTTAATTGCATTGTTATATCATATAGTTTCAAGTATTAGATTGTTCATGGTTGTGAATAGTAGTAGTATGAATTTTGTTGATTTTGATGATTGATATTAAATTTTGGATGATTATTTATGTTGTTTGTTGATTGTATTGCATCACATTATGTTGTTTGATGTTTTTGTAGCAAATTTGTGCAAATTTGTTGTGAATTGTGAAAGTTGGTTTTTGGTAGTTTGGTTGTAATTGAAGTTGGTCGGTTGAACCAAGGTGGTTATTGAATTGTGATTGATGATTTAGAGTGTTTGAGAAGTTGAATTTGTGATTTGGTTGTGATTGTTTGGTGAATCATCATGTCTAAATACTTAAAAGTGATCACCTCCAAAACCAAGAAAAGAAAAAAAAACCATTTCCATAGAATGACCATCACCCTCAAACACATCTTCCCCTCAATCACAAAACCTTGAACCCCTTCCCATTCCTAAAACTCGTTTCGTTGACAAAGCCAACAAGCCTATTTGGCAAAGCTTCCAAAAGAGAACCTATAGGCCCTCTCAGCATTACCATAAATTTATCAAGATAAAGTTGGGGATCGATGATGATTTATAGGTTCTATTTAACAATCTTGGCTTTGGAACGCATGCTACTAAGAGATACTGGAACTACCTTGATCCTACTTCTGAGTTCTTGGCCTCTTTGGGTGTGACTCCTAATGGTGATAAAGAATATGAGATAACCTTCCAGCATTTCAATGATGTTCATGTCATGTCCTTGGCCAAGTTCAGTGTGGCCTTGGATTTCAATCCGAATGCGGATCTCTTCTACACTAATTGCGAGCATGAGTATTTAAATGGTTTCTCTCCAGATGCCTTTTGGCATACCATCTCGGGTTTTAACAAGCTTGGTGCTCATATTTCTCTTGCAAGCGACATTTTTCAACCATGTATGAGAGTGCTCCACAGGCTATTAAGGTACTCGGTGTTCCCTAAACAAAATTTGGGAAAGTTTTCGCTCCCCGAGTTGCGAGCTTTGTGAATAGCAACTTCCGAAGAATATAGGGGTCAATTAAACCTTGGGCGGATTTTCTTGAGGAATTGTTTGGACATGAGGGGTATCCGGTCGGGTGAAATTCCTTATGGTAGCATGATCACAAGGTTGACTACGAAGCTTAAGTATGAGAGGTATCTTCTTTCTTGCACGTCGGTAGGGGATCTAGAAATCCTTTACCTTGATATCAAGCAATTAAAGCAAGTACAATTCCTATCCAAGAATGAAGATGATGAGGTCTTTGATTGGCTCCGTAGGGGTACCCATTGGTTCCATCTTCCGAACTCCTCTCTTACCTCTCTTCACCGGTATGCCCCGAATGTATGGTTTATGCCCTCTAGAAACCGCATCCCTAGGGAGGATGAACATATGGAAGATATTCTCAATGAGGAAAGGCAATGCCAAGAGTATCAACAGCAACAAGTTCAACATCAGCAACAACAACATCAACAACAACATCAAGAACAACAACACCAATATGTGAGCCTCGACTTAGATGACCTTAGTGCTCAAGTGAAGGGTATGCAAATCCGGTTGGAGGGTATGTACGATTAAGATTTTGAGGCCCTTTACACCCAAATGAGGGGAATTTTGGAGATGCCATTTTGGCCTTAAATGGCTTTATTTTGATGATATGGACCCATAAACTTAGAAAATGACTTCTTTTATGTGATTTCAAATCATATTCATTTATAACTATGTAATTATTAGATGATTTGAGAAAGAATGAGTTCATAAGTTATGAAATGAAGAAAATAGGCATGTTATAAGCCATTTTGGGTTTAAATGGCTTTATTTGGATGATATGGACCCATAAACTTAGAAAATAGCTTCTTTTATGTGATTTAAAGTCATATTCAGTGATAACTACGTAATTATGAGATGGTTTGAGAAAGAATAAGTTCATAAGTTAAGAAATGAAGAAAATAGGCATGTTAGAAGCCATTTTGGCTTTTAATGGCTTTATTTTGATGATATGGACCCATAAACTTAGAAATTAGCTTTTTTATGTCATTTTAAGTCATATTCACTTATAAATATGTAATAATGAGATGGTTTGAGAAATAATGAGTTTATAAGTGATAAGTGACATTTATGTCACTCTTAGGGAGTAGTTTTAGAGTCATTTTCGGGCTCGGTTTCTCTTATTTTCCCTTTTATTCTATTATTTTCCTTTTAATAAAGTTTCTTTTTATTTTCATTATTTTGGCATGTTTTAGTTGTTTTCATGGATTTAATTAGTTTGTGGTTTATTTCTTATTTATTCTATTTTATTTACTTGTATAGTTTTATTTAATTTTGCTAGTTTTAGTTTTATTTCACTTATTTTCTATTTTATTTTATTTATTTTCATTTTTTTATTTTATTTTAGGGAAATTCTATTTGGTAGACCTCTAATTATTAAAATTCTCAGTGGTAAAATGCAAAAAAACATTATCCCTGGTAAACTATGTTTTAAAAAGTTTAATTAGTGGTAACCTTAAGAAATGTAGTTAGGCAATGGTTAACCATGGTTAATCATTCTAATTAAAATAAAAGGTGTGATGCCTAAAATACCCCCATTTAATTACCCCCAACCACAAATGTCAAATCATTTCCTTCCTTGACTTTAAACCTTCAGCCTTCTTCATCACACTGCATTCGACACTGATGAGGTGCGTCATTTCTCTTAAAGCATTCTGAATTTTTTCCTTTAAAAGTTTAGGCATTTTTAAAACAATTGTTCTGGGTTTGTATTTGTAGTTGGTAGTGGTGATTTAACACATTTTAAGGGAAAATTCAAGACGGTTTGAGGGGTTTTGTTCGTGAATTGCGTGTAATGGAATTCGATTTTGTGCAAGACAATCTGCATCAAAGTTCGAATTTTTTGAGAAAATCCACCATTTGCCCTTAATTGAAGCAAGGTATGTGTTTTTTTGCATATAAGGGTTATGTATGCTCTGTTTTTTCGGTTAATGGGGTTGGATATGAAATGTGGTTGATGGCATTGGTTTATTTTGTTTGCTTACTTATGTTAATTGTTAAAGTGAACTTTTTTATTTGTTTAGGGTTCTGATTATGTGGTTATATGTTGTTTATTGTTGGATTGGTATGTAATTTAGGGCAGATTCTTATACAATTGTTTTTTAGATGTTGTTTGGTTTGATTGATGCAGAATGGTTGATAAAATTGTTCTACAATTTCAGTATAGGGGTGTTGATGTGTCTGTTGTGGTTGATGATGTTGATAAGGTGAACCTGATAGATCTTATTGTAGATTACTGGGAAAAGCTAAGGAGAGTAAAATTGAAACACCAAAAAACCCAACTTTTCAATAAGTTTATAAAATGAAGCATGTAGCTCTTCTAACTGATGCTGATTTGATGAAGATGTTTGGTAATTTGCCTGAAAAAAGTGAGATATACATATGGGTTGGGGATGGTCTTAAAGACAGTAAGGTTGTTGCAGCTGCAAGATCATTAATGAGTGGAAAGGGAAAGCAACAAGTAGTTGAACCAGTAGCTAACCTAGTAGTTGAACCAGTAGCTAGCCTAGTAGTTGAACCAATAGCTAAGGTAGTGGTTGAACCATCAAATAAAAGTACCAAAAAAGTCACACCTAGGAAGAATAAGCAACCTAAGAATGTGGAAACTTTAGTAGTTAGCAAGGCTGACTTTGATAGACATGTGAAGGCTATAGGACAGTCAAACAAGGTGAGTGGTCCTGTGCTTTTAAATTATGATCCAGATCAAACATGGGCTGAACCATAAAATAAAAGTACCAAAAAAGTCACACCTAGGAAGAATAAGAAACCTAAGAATGTGGAAGCTTTAGTAGTTAGCAAGGCTGACTTTGATAGACATGTGAAGGCTATAGGACAGTCAAACAAGGTGAGTGGTCCTGTGCTTTTAAATTATGATCCAAATCAAACATGGGCTGAGTTAGAAGCTGAGTTGGAAGCAGATAGGGAAGCAAACCCTCAACCTAAGGGTAGTGGGAGGGGAGGGAATGAAAGAGGGAGAGGGAGAGGGAGATCATCTGAGAGAGGGAGAGGGAGAGGCAGAGGTAGGAGTAGAGGGAGAGGTAGATCTTCTGACAGAGGGATGGGAAGAGAGAATGCCTTGGAGAATTGGTTTAACATTTCCCCAACACCATAGCAAACTGACCAACAAAATCAACCTCATGAAGATGATCGAACTACTAACCCAAATGAAAATCAATACCAAGTACCCCATGATATCATCACACAAAATACCCAAGCCCAACCATCTACACAGTCATTGATACCTCCTTTGCAAAATATTGGTGAGTTTGGACCTAGGGGTAACTCAGGTGAGAAGCAGTCATCTAATTCATCAAGAGTGTCTGCCTTTTTTCAAAAGATAGTGCCTAGAACTACTGCTAAGAGAAAAGGGATTGTGATTAGCACAAGTACAAGTGGGGGGGGGGGGGGGAAGTGAACAAGAAAATGGGGATCAGAATAGGAGAAGGGAGGTTACTGTTAGCTTAGGTGAAGACAATGATACTACTAGTCTGGCTTTAGTTGGTGATGAGGGTGACAGTGAAGATGATGGCTACAGTCCTATAGCTAGTAGAGGGGTTTCTGATGAAGACATGAGTGATGAGTCAGAAAATGTGAGTTTAGATGATGAAGATGACTTGCCTAGGGATGAATATGGGCCAATTATTGAAGACAGTTATGATCCCTTTGAGGATGAAATATTTGAGTGTGAGAATGAACATGACAACTACTTAACAAAGTTATATAATAATGGAGAGGTGTATAAGGATGAGGGGTTTGGGAAAATAGTTCTCAAGCCATGGCAGCTGTTCATGGACAAGCAACATCTCAGGGATGTTGTGAGGGATTACTGCATCCAGTGTGGATTTGCAGTTGTTGTTGAGTGGGCTAGCAACAAGAGATATTGTTGTAGATGCTCTGATGTGAACTGTTGCTGGAGATTACATGCTTCTGTTCTTCCAGATGAGTGCACTTGGGCAATCAAAAGTATTCAAAACCTAGAGCATACATGTGCAGGACTGAAGACAAGGAATAGTATGGTTAATGTCAAGTGGGTTATGAGAGTCTTACTTGAAGATATAAGGGTAAACAATGATGCTCCTGCCAAGGCCTTGAATGAGTTGCTTTGGAAAAGGTATGGAGTGACAATGGCACAAAGCACACTGTACAGGGTGAGGACAAAGGCCTTAGTTGAAATTCATGGTGGGCACGATGTCTCTTACAAGGCATTGCCTATGTACAGTGATGTTATCAAGTAGCTAAATCAAGGTTCATTAGCACACTGTGCATGGAAGAATGTAGGTCCTGTCAGGCCCATGGTATTCAGTAGCATATTCATTTCCTTTAAGACTTCAATAGATGGGTTGAATGCTGGATGCAGAAGCTTAATTGGAGTGGATGGAGCTCATCTCAAGGGCAACTATGGTGGGGTGTTATTGTCTGCAGTTGCCCTTGATGGAAATAATGAGATATTTCCTGTAGCATGGGCAATAGTGGGAGCTGAAGATGCTGACAGCTGAAAGTACTTTCTATATCACTTGAAGAATGCTCTACAACCAAGTGGGAGGGGTGATAATTAGTGTATAATCAGTGATAGACAAAAGGTATTGATTCTAATTCATTTTTTTGGCTCTAATTCATTGATAATTGGTGCATGATAAGTGCAAAAGTGGTAGATAATTTAGACACTAATTACTTTGTTTGGCTCTGAAGGGTATTGATCCTGCCATTAGTGAGATATGGCCAAAAGTAGGCAGAAGATACTGCTGCAAGCACTTGATGAAGAACTTCAAAAAGGAATTTCCTGGTTTGCAGATGTTCCAATTGTTTTGGAAGGCTGCTGGAGCATTCATTCCATTCACCTTACAAAAAAACAATGAAAGCATTGCAGAAGGCTAGTCCTTTAGCTCTTGTTTGGCTGTCAGAGCTTGGACCACAATCAAGATGGTCAAAGAATGCTTTCAATCCAGATGTGAAGTGTGATACAAACAAATCAAACTTTGTAGAAAGCTTTAACTCTACCTTAGGCATTGATAGATGCAGACCAGTCTTTACTTTGCTTGAAGGTACTCTCACATTCCTTACCTTATTTATTTGATTTAGTGTTAATTCAATAGTAGTAATTGCTTATCTATTTACCATTAAAACTGTTTCAGGTATTAGAAGATTCACCATGGTTAGAATGGCCACCAGAAGGGAGGCATGTGAGAACTGGAGAGATGATGTGTGTCCTAATATCATGAAAAGGATGCAAATTATTAGCCATTAATCAAGGACATGCAAAAGTTTGAAGTCTGGGATGGTGAATTTGAAATACTTGATGGAAAATCTATGCTTCCAGTGAACCTAAGACAGAAGACATGTGTATGTAATGCTTGGCAACTTACTGGATTGCCTTGCAAACATGCCATGAGGGCCATTTTGCACTTAAATGAAGACCCTAGGTTCTATATCAGTGCGTGGTATTCTGTCAAAAAGTATAAAATGGCTTATGGCAACTCTATCAAGGCCATACCAGATGTGGAGCAATGGCCTAATAGTCCTTATCCAGAGATTGATCCACCAACTATGAAAAGAAGGATATGGAGACCTGCAAGGAATAAGAGGAGGGAAGAGGGTGAGAAAGCCAAAGGGAAGAGGTCCAAAACTATCAAGTGCAGCAAATGCCAACAATTTGGGCATAATACATAAACCTGCCAAGGTGGCTTGACTAGTAAACAAAAGGTGGCCCTAGGTGAAAGCTCTACAGGTCAGACCAACAAAAGGCAAACAAACAAGAAGGGAAAAGGGGCATCTATGAGCCAACCTGAACCAACAACAGCGGCATCATAGCCATTAAGAGTCTCACCAAGGAACCAGAGAGCAAAGGGACCTATCTTAGCATCACAGCCAATAAGAATGTCACCAAGGTCAAAGAGAGCTAAAGGAGGGATCTCAGCATCACAGCCTGCATGATTTGTGTCTTAGGAGTAGTTGGTCAGAAAAGTGCATGTTTTTTTTTTTTTTACTTCTTAATTGACTGTATGTGTCAAACTTCAGTATTATGTGTTTCAAGATGTCAAATGCTGTTTTTTTTACAAAACATTTAGATTATGGGTTGATGTAATGTTTTTCTTTTGGCTAATCAATGACATATCAGCATTGTTATAATATACAGAAATTGCTCACAAAAATTGACAAAAGTAGTACCAATTTTATTCATTCATCATTAAGCAAACCAAAGTACATCAGTTCCATACCTAATACATCAACATTCTAATTCATACTACTGCACCTAATTCATAACTTAGAAACAACAAATAACATAATAAAATACATTATCAAAGTCATCTTCACAATTAGTTTGATGAAATTCACCAAATCATCCAGCCTTGAAGTAACACCGACAATATCACCTTGTTCAACTTCCAATTCATCCCCAACCCTTATTATATTCTCCTCCTTCAACCACGCAAAATAATCGCATCCTCTGCACTTGAAAAATAGTCTTCTAGGGTTCTTCGTGGTTTCTGAAATCTTCACCGCAGCCACTTGGGGGGAACACAGTTGCAGTGCATAAGCTTAACCCAAGCAATCCTATCATCTATGGTGATTGGCTTCACCGAAGAAGATGAACGATTGTTCTTGATTGCCTCTACAGAGAGAATTTGGGGAAATCGTGAAATTAGGGTTTATAAGAAAGGGGGAATTCGATTTTATAAATATAATAAGGGGAAATCAATTTAGAGGGGAAATCGATTTGGAGGGAAAATCAGGTCTGCCATTAGGGTCAAATTAGTCATTACAACATTATTTAACCATAGTAAAGCTTAAATTGCCTAATTACATTGCTTAAGGCTACCACTGATTAAACTTTTTAAAACATGGTTTGCCAGGGATAATAAGTTTTTTTGCATTTTACCACTGAGAATTTTAATAATTAGAGGTCTACCAAAGATAATTTCCCTTTATTTTATTTGTCTCGATATCTCCTCGGTTTTGTGTGTAGATTTGAGTTCAAGTCAAGGAGTTCGGTTTCGAGGTCTCAAGTCAGACCATCATAGCCGCACTACATCACCTACCCAAACACAGCAAGCTGCTACTTCCTAGCCTTCACCCCACTAAAACTTATCCTCCACCATATTAAACAACTCCATCAACCAATTCACACACACCTGCTTCCATCCTCGCCGCACCACCAACCGCAACAACAAACACCAGCCACACCAGCTTCAATTAGCGCACCACCTTTGTCCTGCTACTTACCAGCAACCTTGTGCAACTACCTTACCACTACCGAGCCACTTGCTCTATCAATCTACATTCTCCCCAATTCAATTCACCACCAACTTGCAAAACCCACACTCCAACCACCTGTTCACCGAGCCGCATCGCAACCTAGCTAGAACCGTAATACCAATTACCACTAAACGCTGCCCAATCATCTCAATTCGCCATCCTCAATCGTAGCAGCTCTTTAATCTTCTCATCCCTCACGCACCAAAACAGAGCTGCTCGCATCTCCTCCACTTCTTCTCACCTCAGAAAACCCTCCATTTAGCACCAAATTCGATTGGAGCTTTACGCGGGCGCGCAACCCTGTGTGAAGGCACATGCAATTAGAGTCCAAAAACAGAATTGATACATTAGCATTTGCGCGACGTCATCGCGGGCGTGCAAATGTGGGTTCAATCACGAGCTTCTCACGTGATTTTAATGAAGATTGAATGGCCTTGGTTTAATCATCGATTTTAGCTGTTGAGGATGATGGTGTGGATTCGATGATGAAGCTTGCTGATGATGTTTGATGGTGAGTGAAGTAGGGGATTAAAATAGCTTCTTAATTCGAATTAGAAGAAGAAAGGGAGTCTGATGTTTTGGAGGGAATCGATGGTTTCTTTATTTGATTATTTCTTTTTCTTTTATTTATATTTCTCTTCTTAATTTATTTTCCTTTCTTGGTTTATTTTACTTTATTTCCCCCTTTTTATTTTCTATTTTCCTAGCTTTATATAAATACCCAAGGTAGAGAATGTAAATGCTCTTTCAACCTCTGGAATGCTGCCTCAGCGTCATCCCCCCATTCAAATCTGGTCTTCTTCCTGATTGTTTGGAAGAAGTAGAGGCACTTGTCGCCTGACCGGCTGAGGAACCTCCCCAAGGCGGCCAGACAGCCGGTGAGTCTCTGCACTTCCTTGATAGAACGGGATGACTTCATGTCTATCACCTCCTGTATCTTTTCAGGGTTAACCTCTATCCCCCTTTAATCAATCAAGAATCCGAGAAACTTCCCAGACGCAACACCAAAGACGCATTTCTAGGATTTAACATAACCTTATGCCGCCTGAGGGTGGTGAATGTTTCTCGGAGATCAGCAAGGTGATCCATCTGTAGCTTGGATTTGACTATCATGTCATCTCGAGTTTAGTCTAATGCATGTGTTAAACACTTTGAGTCGAGTCATAACAAGTCATATGTGATAAAAACACATTAAGTCTTAATTGAGCCTTAGGATAGTCCTAAGATAATTAAAGAGATTAGCAAAGTCTTATAGTCAAAAATATAAATACAAGTATAATCCAAAGAGAAAACGAATAAGAATATTCCCGGATTTTGAAAAACCGCGAATATAAATACATGAGATTATTCTAGGGATAGGAGGGGGTTTAGCAAAGCTTAAAAATTAGAGATGAAGAGCTTTAATTTAAGCAGATTTGGTTGAAAGGAAACAACCAAGTTAAAGGTTCGGAGCGAAACCAGGCAATGAACAACAACAGCATAGGGAAAGAGGATTTATCTGAAAATCCTGAGTGCAACGCTTGGCGACAAGCTAAAAGCTAGGTTGGTCAGTCCTTTACCTAGGGAGACGTTGTACATGTATTTAGCCGTCTCAGATCATGCCCTCAGTGCCGTTCTCATTGCTGAGCGAGACGGCGTGCAGCTCCCGGTTTACTTCATTAGCCATGTTCTTAAAAATGCTGAACTCCGGTACCCCATGGTTGAAAATTTTGGCTTTGCTTTGTATATGGATTTCAAAAAACTGAAGCCCTACATTTTGGCTCATCCGGTGGTGATTTACACCGACCAGCCACTCAAGCGGCCAATGTCTACCTTGGACTCATCCGATAGAATGTTGAAATGGGCTATTGAAATGCAGAGTCTTGAAATCACTTACGAACCAAGAAAGCCAGTGAAAGGTCAGGTGTTTGCCGACTTCGTTGTTGAAATGACCCGTCCGGTGGCTCCGGATAATCTTGATCAGGTTTGGAAAGTGTATGTAGACGGGAGCTCTACAAAGAACGGCTGTGGTGCAGGCGTAATCTACGAGTCTCCTGAAGGGGACATATTTGAGTATGCACTACGCTTCAAATTTCAAGCCTCTAACAATGAGGCGGAATATGAAGCCTGCTAGCCGGTATTCGCATGTGTAAGGCGGCAGGGGCCATGAAAATTGACGCCTACTCTGATTCTCAATTGGTTGTTAGCCAGTATGAGGGAAGCTACGAGGCTACTCATCCGGCTATGATTAAATATCTTCAAACAGTCAAAGAAGAGACCAAGGCACTTGAGGAATTTCGGCTGAGTCAAGTGCCTAGGTCGGAAAACAACCAGGCGGATGCATTGTCAAAACTGGCGTCTTCCGCCTGCCATGATACGCCTCGGTCAGTCTTTTGGGAAGTTCTTGAAAAGAGAAGCATCTATGAGGATCCCATTGGAATTATGGACAGAAGTTCTACCTGGATGGATGGCATCCGGGCCTATCTTTCAGACGGCACACTTCCTGATTCGCCACAGGAGGCAGCCATCCTGAAAAAGCGAGCTGCAAGCTTCAAGTTGAAAAATGGAGAACTCTTCAAGGCGAGTTTTCTTAAACCTCTGTTGAAGTATGTCACCCTTGAAAAGGGGAAGGAAGTTCTCGAAGACCTGCATTTTGGATTCTGCGCCTGCCACATAGGCGGCAAGTCCCTAGCCGTCAGAGCTAGACGACATTATTTTTGTCCCACTCTTGAGGCAAACGCCAAGGAGTTGGTAAAGAAATGTGACAAGTGCCAAAAATTTGGCAAACTCATTCACCGTCCGGCTACTGATCTAAAGGCCATCCACAGCCCAATCCCGTTTGCAAAATGGTGCATGGACATTCTAGGTCCTTACACGCCTACTCAAGGAGGAAAGCGCTACATCTTGGTGGCTGTGGATTATTTCACCAAGTGGGTAGAAGCTGAGGCGGTTAAAAACATCAAAACCTCATACGTGATTTCCTTCATTTGGAAAAACATTATCACCCGGTATGGGGTACCTATGTCTATGGTATTTGATAATGGTCCTCAGTTTGAGACGCCTCAGCTAAAAACTTGGTTAAGAGATCAGGGGATCTCAAGCTATTTTGCATCTGTTGGCCGGCCCCAAGCAAACGACCAAGTTAAAGCCTTCAATAAACTCATTTAAGACGGCATTAAGAAGAAAATAGAAAGAGTCGGTGGCTTAAGGGCAGAAGAGTTAATCCATGTCCTATGGGCCATCCGGAAACCAGGAAAGGGGGCAACCGGTGAAACCCCATTTCTCATGGTTTACAGTGCTGAAGCCGTCTTGCCCATCGAACATTACGAGCCGACTCTCAGAGTCATGCTATATGATGAAGAGGCAAACTGGGAAGCAATGCGCCTGTCATTAGACTCACTCCCGGAGCGCAGGGGCAATGCCGCCTTGCGTCA